AATGCCATGGGCTTACTCAAAAGATTAAATACTTGGTTCAATGTATTTCTATTGGGCATATAGCTCAACCCTATTTTATTTTTCAGGAAATGATGAAGTAACCACCTCACTGATCGATTGGAATAAGCAATAGCTCCTTTTGGAAAAAAGTTGATTCATGGGTGTTTTGTTATTTTGAATTGGGATTTTTGTAACATGACTATCAAATTATTTTGTTGTTGTTGTATGCCCTAGAGGATTATATTTCGTAAGGCCATCTAGTTCATTGAACTGGGATACGAATCCCAGATATTGTGGGAATGTACATGATGAATTGTAATATCTAAACTCTTAGTTCAATGAGAAAGATGATTTTTTGGGTATATTGTTGTGTTTGTCTTGGCATGCTCTTGTGAGAAATGCAGGGCGCGTTACACAACAAGAAAGAAAAAGAGATGGAAGATGCAAGAAACACAAGAATGGAAGTAAGGATTTCCTCTAGGCTTGTAGAGATAGGGCCCAAGCTAGTCACAAGCTCCAATCTAAACTCCCTCAAGCTAGTGAAGATCTCTAGCTCCAAAACTCCAAGCAAATGTATGCAGAAAGTAGTCCAAGTGTATATGTATATGAAACATTATTCACAAAACTCTCTAATCCTCACTCATATTGATTAAATTACTCAAATAGTTAACTAGTTTAAATTGGGTTCCCTCAATCAATTTACCAAATTGACTAAAACTAGTCAAATTTTCCAACCCTTAATCCTTTAAGAGAAGGGGGCTAAAAGGACTTGGGGTGCTTAGAATATACCATTTGATCCTTAAAGATTCAAATGGCATATTCCAAGATGCCAGGAGACACCTCAAGAGAAATTTGTTTGGCTGACGTTAGCTGGCATTCGTCTGACAAGACTTGTACGGCTGAACAAGAGTGGTTCGTCGTGTCTTCTCAAAAAATTATATGGTAAAGCACGAACGGTTTGGGCGTGCTTACCAGGACCGAAGTGGTCCTAACGTGCTCGCTCTAACCCATATTGTTTGTCGTGTTTCTCTAAATTTGTCCGGCCGACCAAGCATTGTTTAGCGTTACTTTTCTCAAAAGGTCTTCCTATCTTCTCATTAGTTCCGACTTTCTAAGCTCTCTTTTCTGAAAAATAGGTCAACAGCTTTTGGAAATATAATGCTAATAATGGATGAAATGAACGAAAAGGTACCACTTGCCTTAAAAGCATTTCAAAAAATATAGGTTTGAAGGTTTGGAAAACTCTTTGGCCAAAACAGGTGTAGGAAGGTTTGTCTCTCCTCATCCATCGCATGTGCTTAAAATGGTTTTTGCTTTCATCATCGGGAGATTTGAGTTAGAGCCCCCAAGTAGTAGGGCCAATCAAAAATAGGGTGTCTATAGCAACAAACAAGTAAACCACGTGAAAGTTGCTCTAGTCAAAGAAATAAGGAATATTCTAAGTTTTAAGCAATCATTACTTTCAAATTTCCCTCATTGTCCAGTGAACCTTCAATGTGTTCAATGGTTGACTGGTTTTCACTTCCTAAGAATAAAGTAATAAATCTAAATCCCTTCAAGAATTCATATAACCTATTTACCTACTCAACATATTGTCTTATATATACTAGAGATTGTACCCTTGTAAGCCATAGTTCCATAAATATCTTGTATGAGACCAACAATTTTATCTATTGGTAAGGTAGGTGTTACAACCACTGGTGGTTGTTCGAGCACTGGAGGTGGAATATTTTTCATCATTCTTGGTTTCTTGTTTACTTGCCTAATTGGTTTCTCCCACCCTCGAGTCCTTGTTTGAATGCTTGATTATTTGCTAACCTCATAGATAGTCTTACTATAGTATCATTTCCTCCCAAATTTTGCTCATGTGGAGGGTAATTAGTCATTTTTCTTATACCATTCCATTGGAGGCATTAGCTTATAATAAAATTTTCGTGGGTTTTCAAGATCACAAATTCTTCTTTGAGAGATACTAGATTGTTGGTTTTTTTCTGTTGGCCATCTCTAACCATATATTGGCAATGATGCTCTCTATAAGGTCCATTCATTCTTTGTTGAAATGGTAGCAAGTTATTCTCTATAATCTGGAGAAATGGTGATCAAGGGGATGTTACCTCTCCAACAAATTAGTTGCCAAATTATTAACATAACTCATTAGTTGTTGGCTAAGTTGTTTTATAATTGGCCCTATCTAGAATAAAACTTAGTTCGAAACCACATTTAGGTTAGAAATGTTATGAATTTACTAACCAACATTATCACTAGCGTATCTATTATTATTTTAAGGAAACTTCCATGTTCAAGGCATTTATGGCAACCTCTGGTTCTCTCCCTACATCTTGCACATTGTTAAAAATATAACTTCTTATTATCTCTTTCCTTGTCATGGAGCATTAGAATGTGTGTTCTATCAGGTGTGCCAAAAAAAATGTTGGCTTTGAAATGCCTTTGAATGACGTAATTGTAATTTGGACAGGGTAGAAAAGGTTGAACAACCTTTTTAGATTTAAACCTAAGCTAATTAAAAACTAGATGAATGTCTAAACGGTTCCTTTGTCTCAATGTGCCAACATCGAGGACAAGTAATACATAATTAAAAGTAAAAAGAAAGTAAAAGGAAATAAAGTGAAAAGAAATTGAATTAGTGAACAATATAATTACTAAAAGCAAAGTTAGAATTGATTGAATGAACAATACAATTTCAAGATCACACTAGCTTGCTACTTTTACTCATATCTTTGAAGTTCCTCCTATGGTTATTAGAATTGAATCCACTCCTAACTAGTGAGAAAAACTACTAAGAAAATATAACAATAAGTCCAAATTTTTAGTCTAGAGGTCCATTTCTCCTTTAATTGGCCTTCTATTTATAGACGCAATGCTTTAACTACTCATTACAACGTATTCAGGTTTTTGAGACAAAAAATTAAGGACAAAATAATTTTTTAGGGATGAAATGTTGTATTTTTAACAATAAAATTGGACATTTAGTGATGAATAACTATTCTTTTGAGACCATTTTTTTTCTCTCAAAAAGTAAACTTTTTGGCACCAAATTAAGTTATCCCTACAAGTGCATTTTATTCTATCGCTAAAAGCTATTTTTTTTTACTTTGGGGATGACCTTTAAATGACAGCTTTCATGATGACAGGAATTGGTCCTCAAATATTTTTTACAACAAAATTTTCACTTTTTGAGACAAAAACATTTGATTCCTAAAGCTTTTTTAGGTTGCAGTGGCTTGTGATTGCTTACAATGACCCGTGATATTTCTTTCTTTCTCAGGTGTTGACTTGTTTCCCTTTTCTTTCTCGCATTTGTTGTTCCAGTAATGGTGCTAGTGTCTCTTGCATTTCAAGAAGCTGCACATTTTTTTTTTCTTAACTCCCATGACTGCCCATGACCCATGGATGTTTCATCTTCTTAGGAGTTTTGTGGACTTGTTATGTGATAGATACTCTCTTCAAATATCTCTAGATTTACCTTTTTAACTATGAATAACTATTTTGCACCCATTGCTGCCCAAAAATTGGCTATTCAATTCAACGATTGTAAAAAAATTGAATATGTTCCAATATGCGCATAAATCTTTATAAGTACCAGCCACACTTGTTTATACTACCATTGAATGGGTCCTAATCGCTACTTGTTATCCAGTTAGTTGGTTTGGATATCGACTAGGGTGCTGGGTTTGGTGGTTATAGTCTAGGTTGGTGAAAGTGAGTAGATGAGTGGCATAGATCAAGAGAATAGGTAGAAGAGTTGCAGCTGTGGATGAAGAAGAGGTAGGGCTGGCCACAATAGGTAAGAGAGGACTGAGTCCGAATTCTCGGCCGCCCTTCCCGGCGGCCGTTCCAGCAGCCCCCCTAAACGACGTCGTTTTGGGGGTTTTTTTGATTTTTTTTTTTTCTTTCTTCTTCCTCGTTGGAAGACAGAACCAGAGGGAGGGAAGGGGAGGGGAGGGAGGGAGGAGGAGGAGGAGGCGGAGGCGGGCCGGACGCGGAGGCGACGGCAGATCGGGCGACGATCGGACGGCTGGCGAGCTCGACGACCTGCGACGGCGAGCTCGACGACCTGCGACGGCGAATCCGGACCCCAAAATCCGGCAAGCTCCCCTCCCCTCTGGTTCTGCGAAGAAGGGAAAAAAAAAAAAAAACAACGAAAAAACCCCCAAAACGACGTCGTTTTGGGGGGGCTGCTGGGAAGGGCCGCCCAGAAGGGCAGCCGAGGATCCAAATTCGAGAGGACTAGGGTGAGCAGAGGCGGTTGGGAGTAGTGAGGGAGAATGGAGGAAGTGATGGCAGTGACGGAAGACGTGGCTAGGGTTATTTGTAAAAGAAAACTAAAAGTGACCATGGTAATTTCATAATTCTACCAAAAGATTCCATATTTTGTAATTAATTTTGGTTCTTCCAATTGTGATGTAATGTTTGAAAACTTCCCATTGACTGGTAATAAATTACCTCATTTCCCATTGGATGTTGTATGACCAAAATTCTATAATAGACGCTGCTTTTTGGGTTATATATATATATATATATATGTAAATATCACTTTCTCTTATAACTAAGTTACATTCATTCCTAACTAAAAACACCACAATGAATCACAATTAATGACCACTAGTCATAATAAAAAAACAACTTCGTTGGGTCATAATCATGATCATAAACCATAATGATTTATAATTAAAAAATATTTTCAACAATTATAGTGAGTCATAACTATACATTACTTAACTCATAACTAAAGATCACAAAAAAATTATAACCAGATATATTGTGCATTCCACTCCCAAAAAAAAAAAAAAACAAAAGAGTATATGTATTGTAGAATGTCTCATAGAAAATAGATAGATAGATGAGGTAATCTTTAAATGCAAACACTAATAAAAAAAAGATAGACCATTTCGAATTTAATTTGCTGATATTGAACCAATGAATGATGCAAAAGAACCTATATGAAAAAGGAAAAAGAAAAAGTTATGATGCAAACTCACAAAATGTTCAACTTCTTCATTTGACTAAAGAAAGTTGGTATGTGTCCACCCAGTAAGTTACCATCAAGGAGACTGTTCATCATAGATAGGCAATGTTAGTGTATAAAACCTTACATGCATCATAAATGTTAAATTACCCTAACATGTTCATTTTTATTACCCATAGCATTGTTAGGGTTTTACACATTATACATGACAATGATGATCTTAGTTAGGTAGGGAAAATATATTTAAAAAGTAAATTGAAATTAAATACGCTTCAACATGATTACACAACTTACATAATTGAAAGCCTGGACAAATTTTGTAACCAAAATGGAATCTTACTAAACCTGTTATCATTCAGATATCTGTGGCAACAAAATTAAATAAAATTTCATTGTCACTTCTGAAAGAGAAAAAAGGAAAAAAGAAAAGAAATAAATAATGAAGAGAAAGAATTGTTGTCAATCAAAAGTTACATCAAACGCCATATGTGTCATGCATTTCGTAGTCTTCTCGTTCAATGGAGCTGAGACCGTTCAGTGGTAAAAAAATGTGCATGATGAGTTCATCATGGTCTAAAGGTAATAATAAGCTAAATCATGTCATACAAAATAATGGTACTTTGATTAGCTTATAAATTGACATATTTGTTTTTGCTTTTAGCAATTTTTTTTTTTTTTTTTTTGGTTTGGTTGAACTTTGAGTCAATTTGTTTATACTTTATAAGTCGGTCCAAACTAGAAGATCTTAAAAATTAAAAACAATAAATTCTTTTTGAAAAATAATGTTGAAAACAAAAAATTGACTAACTTTTAGAGGTTATTTTTGTCTTATTTTTGTTAGCTTTTTCCATCGACTTTTTCCAAAATGTTTCCAACCTTTTAAGGATAAGTTTTCTATTTTTTTTTTTTTAATAATAGTAACTGGCTTTATGAAAATAAATACAAAAAGAAGTTTTTTTTTAATCTTTAGAAATTATTTTCTTCCCAAAATATGGGAGAATCATACGGGAAAAGATTGATTTTTTTAATTTTTCATTTTATTCACTAAATTCGTTTGTAGATTCTTTGGGGAAAAGATGAAAAAGAAGAAGGGAAACCTAATTTGAAAATCAAACCAATCAAGCTGAGAGGTTTTTCATTAAAAAAATAATTATTTTTTCATGGAGGTAAATGAATTGGTGAAATTACCTAACAAAGAGTATATGAAGAAATATAGATTTGAGACTACATGCGCTCTCCCATCGTCTATTTTTCTCAACATAAGTTCATTTGAAATTCGATGGTAACAATTTGCGAAAGTAGTTAATCTTCATAAAAAAATGCATAACAATAAGAACCATGTTAGAATGTAAAATTTTCCTAATTACACTACATTGTCTGCATTTCATGTGCTCTACGCAAAATTAACTAAGAAAACTATGAAAATGAATTGTGGAATTGTAGCACTTCCAAAATTTTGAAATTAATTAATGCATTAATTTGACATAGTACATAGTCATATCAACGGAGAGCAAGAAAAATTTATTGAGTTTTGAGAAGGTGTCACGTCTCATTGCTCTAATGACTTGTATGAAATATCCTAAACAACAATTTCATCCTTTCATGGAATGAAGAAGAAAGTGAAAAAGCATTTTTTTTGCCTCAAATCCCTATATCTAAGCTCTGAATTGAACTTTCCTCTTAAAAAGAATGTCTACATCTATTGCACGATCAAACTTCAAATTATAAAGAAGGATTAAGTAAGCCAATTGAGCGAAATAGTAGAAAATAATCTTACAAATCAGTAAGAGAAGTAAGTTTTCCAATTTCCTTTGGTATTTCTCCTTTCAATCTAGTACTTGATAAATCGCTGCAACACAAAATATAATTACATGTATAACAATACTAATTATAAATCTAAAGAAGAAAAAAAAAGGACATATTAGTAAGAGAATGCCCTTACAACGCATTTAGTAATATGTAATCAATGCATTGGATTTAACTAAAACCTTGTCTAGTTTTTAGTGAAAAGGAAGCATTGATTACCATTTTTTTACATCAAACCTCTACCAAAATACACAAAAATTCATAGCTCTCCCAAAACCCTAAAAAAAGGAGACCTTCTTGAAGTATTTGAACATCCAAAATGTGCCTTGAGAGCTCCAAGGCCTGGGGGAAACACCCAGGGGCCTTGTTTTCAAGTTTCTCTTGTATTCTTCGGTTTGACTACCAAACTATCGGTTAGGTTATAGTTTTCTTATTATTTTCATATACTTGAGTCAAGATTTTTTCTTTTGATAATGGTTAAGTCATATTCATGCATATTCCATGATTTAGAGTAGTTTTAATCATTATTTTCTTACTTTTGCTACTTGTTTTGCATTGTACCATTAGTTTTAATCACATGACATGATTATCATGCATCTAGGCCCAATATACCCATTGACTAGATATTCTCATTGTTGCATTATGTGGTATTTGATTGTTTTAAATGTGAAAAGCCATGGTTTTACGCTCATATGCCACGTTTAGCACCTACCAGGCTATAGGTGTTCATTTTATGTGTTGTTGCATTAGTTTCATGCTTTAGGTCATATATATATATATATATAATTTGCTAACTTGGTTTTTATGACTTTGGTGCGGAGGAGTACCTGATAAGTGCTCTTCCCTCCTTTTGTATCTTTTTGTATGTATTTGTATTATTTCTTATTAATAGCATGTTTCGGATATTTTATGTATTGGGATACGCTTTTCTCCAGTCCAAATCAGACTGGAGGATGTTGTTGGACCTCTGTGGGCTCACTATAGAGCCTACATCAATGATTCGAACTGTTTAATATGTAAAGCTCATCGAGTACTTTATCCTTGCAAAAAATTATGTTAATCGGATATCGATAGCCACTTGATCAAAATCACATTTGTGTCAACTGTAAGTATGAATTTTAAAATAAATTGGTAACACAAATATAATTTGATCAAGTGCTTATTGATATTCGATTAACATGATGTTTTGTAGGAATGAAATACTTGACAACCCCTATATATTAACGGCTCGGATGATCAATGCGGGCTCTATAATGGGCCCATAAAGGCCCAACAATACCTTCTAGTTGGGAAACCCAATTGGAGAGAACCCTCTACCTTATGTAATATAATTGTTGTACACTATGAAACTGTTTGTATTTGAAAGATTTTATAGCTTATATTAGGTTGATTCCATTTTATTCAAACAAAAAGTGTTTTGGAAATATTCAAGTTGTTGGTAAAATCTCCTTCTTTTTGGAAAGTTGTCATTTTTTTGTAATTTTCCAAGTTTTAGGGAACTTTCTTAAAAAACAATTTTGGAAACATTGGGGTGTGGCCCAATGATCTAGTAGTTACACCTTAGGGTGTAGTGAGTGGGAGGTCAAAGGTTCGAGTTGATGGAGCAATGACAGCCCTTCAATTGTAATCTAACTATACTAACATACTAATGCTATTTAAAAAAAAAAAGAAAAAAAGAGATAAAATCCTTTCTTTTGTGAGTTACATATGTAAAAGCAACCGACCTTGGGAGGAGGTGCAATTGGCTTATAACTTTCTTATTCCCTCGTTTGCCCATCTTATGTATAAAACCCATAAGATTATTGAAAATTCGGTCAAATAGTATTTTATTGAAGCCCACTTAGATCCGTCACATGGTGTGCATAGACCTTTTATCATTTTTCTACATAGGCTAAGTTACCAAACAATCAATAATCAAACTTAAAACCGCTACTTGGTTTTAAGGTACAAGAACCGTAAAATGACTCCGTATATAAAGGTACTATCACCAGAGGACTCGATTCAGGGACTTAGGTATGAAGTGGGTAGATTTTATGCATCGATCTTGCCCGACTCAAGGTCGGCCTCTACTTATCATCTTGATAATTTTAAATTCAAAATTGGTAAGACTTATGCATGATAGGTGGCAATAAATAAAAGAATGGGAAAAGTATAACATGGGAAGAGAGGGGAAATACTAAAATAAACTAGAAAGGGATAGACAGGAAAAAGGGATGCATGAGGGATAAACAAAATGAATGGCTAACCTATATGCAACCAAGCCAATAGTGACTTGATCATATATGGGTCATGCCCATACAACTAAAAGAAAAAGACAGAAAACAAAACTATTAAAGCGTGGAACCGCAATGGGAAACGCTTTACTACCCTTAGTTTTTCTCCTTGCTAGGAAGAACTCCAAACTCGCCTCTGGATGAATGTCACAAAGACTAAAACTCGGCCAAGTCACTGCAGATTGGTGCTCCATACTTGAATTATTTGGAACTTAATTCTTGAACTTCTTGAACTCAAATCTTGAACAAAAATAAATGAAGGTGAAAGGGGGTTTATAAAAACTCTTGTAGAAGGGATTTTCTACTCAAAAAATGATATGGGATTGCACAAATTCGGATACAGATAAGGCCAACTGTGCAGCGGGGGCAAAAGGGGGAAAATCGCTGTTGCAAAAAATAAGGGGACGGAGCCAGTCTTGCCATCCACTAGCCTAGAAAATTGGGCCCATGGTCAATCTGACCATTCGTGATGTCGCATTTTTAAAAACGGGCTTTGGGTTTGGGCCACCCATTTTTCCAAAAATCAATCCATTAAAATAGGCCAAAATAAAATAGACAAAGCCCAGTCCAAGTCTAGCCTGTAAATTTTGTGGAAAAACTATTTTATCCTCTTTGTTAAAAACCAATGATTGATCTGAAAATGTCTACTAAAACTTTGTTTGAAAGTAGATTTTGACGAATTTTATATCGTTAGAAAGATCTTTGAAAATTCTATAGATCAGTTTTAAAAATTCTAATGTTTATAAAATGATGCAAAGAAGGTAGTATAATTTTTTGGACTTGTGCAAGGTGAAGAGAGAATAGAAAGGAATTGGACAGTAGGGGTCCAATGTGCCTCAAATTGGTTGTGAATAGGTTTCTTGGGATGTTAGGGTGAACTGAAGTTAGTCTTGGTGCATTCAATTTTGGATTAGAGCTGTCAAATCGAAAGTCTTCAATCATTCTCGAGTATATCATAGGGCGATGTTTTCCAAGTGGGGCTAAGCATTATAGTCATTCAAAATGGAGTATCTACAACATATATGATAGGATTAGTTTAAAAGCATAAGTGAATTTAATTGAGATATGAATTTGACATGGAAGTAAATCTCAAAAAATAAACTAGTATAGGCCAATCTTAGATTGGGTGAAAATGGTGCTCAATCAATGATCTTTTCTTTTTGTACCTAAACTCTCAAATCAAGTTTTGATTTTTATTTTTTATTTTTCGTTGCCTAAATTAACATGGAGTTAGGGTTTCCTAGTTTTTCCATAAAAATTAAGTGGCAGCTCTTTTTTATTTTTATTTTTTATTGTTTGTGTACGAGTAAGAATAATCTCCTCGTATAATCCTGTTGATCAAGTCTGCGCTCCTCCAAACGTCGTCGCTTTACTCCCTGAAAATACGTACGTGAGCTAGCCGGTGGGTGTGTGCCGGATACCTCTTCGATGCCTAAGTCAGCAAAATAGACAAATAAGCAAAAAGCTGTGTATTCGAGAATCAAAGTTGTGTTACCTCTCCATAGGTGATGTTATGAGCTTTTATAGGTTCTGCGTGGCACAGTCCTTGTAGGACTCTTATTCTTCCATGTAGAGTCCTCCTAGGAGTCACACTCCTGAAAGATAATGTTTATCTTTCAACCCCCCTTCACTGCTTAAACCAAGTGAGATAATCCTAGCTCGGTGGTACGACCAAACGACCGAGCTAGTATTGTCATGTTGAAATGACAACTTAGACCGAGCTATGCCTTCCTTTCCTTTATCTGTTTGTACCTCGGTTGTGCCCATTAAGACCGAACTAACCTCAGCAAGCTTCCACCGCGCCAACCTGAGCGAGGTCCATCAAGTGAAAGCACCATACCTCAGCTTCGAATACCGTGACCGAGCTAACTTTCTCTACTCCGACCGTGCTGACCGTGATTATTCGTGGACCGATTTAACACATGCTAGGTCCCTTCCATACCTGGACTGAACTAGCATCTGGACTGTGCCACTTACTAAGCCCCTCTTACTATGGCCCATAGAATGACCCATTACTCAACTCGGCCCAATTTACTCATAAATTATCCTCTCAGTTTGTTTCTGTTTTGTGAATCAATTTCTATTTGGCAATTGTGGGTATTCAATTTGGTCATTTGGATTTCCATGGTCCCTAGATATGTCCCTCGATAAATATAAGATGGAATCCAATGACTTGTGGAAAAAATGATTTATTGCCAACTTGAACCTCAATGATTCACATACTTAAAGGGTCAAATCCAATGTGTGGGTTGCATTGAATGGCATGGCATTTACACATTCAAGAAAAAAAAATGTTGATGAAGTTAGTCCCTTTTCTCATCAGCATCCATATCCATTGGATATCCAAAGAAGTATGACAGTCCTACATTTGTTCTCTATGCTGAACATAAATGCAATGTAAAAGAGCATATCAGCTATTTTTTAACTCTCTTAGGCCTCATTTGGGAACAGGCTAATTTAGTAACTTTTTGACTATTTGGCTAAAATATGAGCTAAAAAAAACTAGTATGATTGGAATGACTTTTTGGCTTTTTACGAAAAGATGTGCAAAAAAGTATAGAGAAAAGAGAATCTTTGACTTTTTGGTATGGGTTGTTGGCTTTTTGGCTAATTTAATAACTTTTTGACTTTTTGACTAAAATGGAGGGTTGCCAAACGAGGCCTTAGTCCCCATGTCAGGGATAGAGAGCTTCAAAAAAAAAAATGTTGATGAAGTTAGTCCCTTTTCTCATCAGCATCCATATCCTTGGATATCCAAAGAAGTATGACA